CAGCGTGGGAATTCTAGAAGCGTCTCCCACCACACGCACTCAAATGTAGTACTTTGCTCCCTGTAGCACATAGATCTTGTACTTTCAATTGGCGAGATTTTTAATATCAATTATGAAAATTTGTATTGAATTTACGAAGTTTTGTCCATTTTGACTTAGAGAATCTGACTATTTCATTCATAAAAGAACACTTTGTAGGTGCTAGTGTTGGGATATATCGTAGCTGATATTCTCAAGTTTTCAATATGAAAATGTGGATGTTCCAATTCTCGTATAAAATATAATAATTATCTCATAATTAAAAACATTAAGTTTTCACTAAAATATGATGATAAAAGAAAAAGAAAAACATCTCAAGGCGGCAGAGGTTGCCCAATTATTCTGAGCTGCACTAGTTGCTTCTTATCCTCAGCACAAGACAGAACTCTATGAACCCATCAATCACTTTTTGTGGGTCCTTAGAGCATTTTCCTCCTCTGAGATATGCCTCTCCACGTCATGGATTCTCTTACTAACTGTAGTTTTCCTAGATGTATATATATATTTTTCATTTAGTTTTTGTCCACTTGCTCCACCATGAAACTAAGCTAGGGGTTCGTTCAGGATAGGGTGGGAGCCCACCACTGAGGAGCCCCGGCCTAAGCCATGATGTCAATCACCTTCTCCGTTGTGATCGCCTTCAGTTCATTTCACGATATGCATATAATAAATGCAATTTAATATTTACTTTGTACTTATTGGCTGATTGCCCCTTGGTTAGGTTACCCACATTACCAATATAAAATATAACGTTCAAAGGGGAAAATTGTGGGCATTTTTTGTTTCCAAGTGAAGCTTATTTAATGCTCTCTTCCGCGTACACATGCACACAGATAATTCTTCAAAAGAAGTAATATAATTTTATTTACCATCAAACATATAATGTTAACGTCAAATTAAATTTAATTAGCACAACTTTAAGCTCTTATGACTATAGATATAATCTTGCCACTTTCTCCTCCCATAGTTTCTTAATTTCATAAATATTGATTATCAGTGCTAAAGTTAGGATTTCACGTTTGAAGGAATAAAGAGTTCAAAATAATATCTATAAAATATTTATATTGAAAGTTTAATATTTGATAAAAATATAAAGCAACTTAAATAAAAAATTTATATAAAAATTATATAAATAAATTTTAAAAATTATTCAAAAAATTATTTTTAATAAAGTACTTAAAAAAATTAACTAGCATAATGATAAATAATTTAATAATGATAATAATCTTAATTTCTAAATAAACTTAATAATAAACAAAAATTAACAAATATAGTAATAAAAATCTAAATAGGAAGTAATCTCCTAAAAAATATTAAGACTATCAATAAACAATTCAAGGGGGAAGCAATTCTTTAAAATTAATAAAAAATTTAAATATAATATCAATAAACAATTCAATAAAAAAACAATCTCAAATAAAAAACTTAATTATTCACAGGAATTTAAATAAAAAAAAACACAAAGAATTTGTAGGATAGTAATCAAGTAATCTCTAAATAAGTAAGTAATAACTAACTTTAGGTGCTTAGTCAAAATTTTTTTATTGTTTTTAATAAAAAATTGACTAAGACGGTAAATTTTAAATCAAAATTATAAATAAAAATCATTAAATAAAAAAATTAAAGTTAAAAATATTAAAATAAAATAAATAAATAAACCAAACTTATCAATTATTATAATATAAAAATTGAGTTAGTACTAGAGGTTTTCTACACAGAGAATATTAGTAAGAAAAAAATATAAAAAATATTTTTTTATTTCTACAGTATTTGATAAAAAAAGAGAATATGAGATGATAGTTGTGAAGTTTTGAAAAAATGAGATTTAAAAATAATTTTATTACAATAGGTTTATCTTAGTCTTATTAAAATTAATTGTTGAAATAATTGTTGTGGACGTATCACAAAAAAGAAATTATTATTGAGTAAAAATTATAAAATTTCAAAAAAATAAAAATTAAATTATAAAAAAATGCAAAATTGTTATGTGGCGGGCCCCTTCTAGGCCCCTTCCCCTCCGCCTCTGCTAACTGAATCTAATTTACTCATTAATCTGAAGAATTTGTTAAATAATTCTCTTCCTTATGGTTGTTAGGATCACGGATATATGAATGCTAAAATTAAATGTGAAACATGCTTCATATAATCCCCTTGGGAAAATAAAAATCAGGACATGAATCAAATGTAAACACGAATATATATATATATATATATATATATTAAATCATCGATTATGAAGAGAGATAAATTTTCTTCTCATACCATAAATCTCTTATCATTTTTTAAATTTAAATATTAAATATTTAATTACTTTTTATTTAGAAAACTAATATGTTACAACATTCAATTCAACACTAAGAATATTGGGAGGAACTAATATGAATAGGGTTGCATTTATTATAAGAGACTGGTCATGGATTACCCTTTAATTCCAACAAATAAGCTTGAAAATTAAACAATAATATCATAAAAAAGGGTTAGAAGATAAGAAAAAAGTGATGCTGAATATGAGAAATATAAGTTCAGGTAGATCTGACATGGACCATTTACTTATTTAAAGTCACTTTTTGAAAACCTTAGACCAGTCTGACCATAATAATGTCCTACTACTAGACTCTAGAAGGGTGGACTGACTTATTCAAAGCCAACCATTCAATATGTGGACTTTTCCTGCATTTTCCCCGTTTAATTTTTTTTAATGAAAAAAAGGGTTATCATTTTCTGACCACATATTTTTCTTCTCCATTTTTATTATTTTTTGTTTCATTTTGCTATTAGTGGCTCAAGGTTTGAAGGGTAGTACAAGAATTTATAATGGGAAGGCAAAAGTACAGATGGGAAAAAAAGACAAAAGCATAAACTAGCCTTTTGTTTGTTTTTTTCTTTAGGGTTAGGGTTCTTTCTAATCTCATCAACCAACAGAAGGAAATACAACAGCGACAGGCTGAAAGATGGGCACACAAAAAATAAAAAGAAAATGCAAATAATTTGTAAATAAATAAATAAATAGGAGAGGCAAAGTAAGCAACAAGCAACCATTAAGAGGTTTGGAAAAATACATTTGGGCATGTTTCCTTCATTATCATATTTGGAATTGAAAAAAGAAAGAAAAAATCTAAAAAGGAAGAGGGTTGTTGAATTTTAGAAAAACAAAGTCCTAGAATCACATGTACATATATTGCCAATATAAGTCAATTTTTGGCCTCAACCACCATTTTTTCTTTGGATGATGAGTTAGTTGGAAAGTTTAAACCTAGTTAAGGCTGATCAAAGTCAATCCTCTCATCACTCTATGGTTAGACTTGGTCACTCCCCATCCCCATCCTCATTCCCAATGTACACATTTAGTGGCATAAACTAGACTAGGAGGGGCTCTCTTAATTAACCTTTTTGATGTCCTATTGAACCCAAAAACAAATTTAGAATCATATATGCGCAAAAAAGGGGTCTAAAATTTTGGGAAAATGTCAATAATTGTGTTCAAGACATAACATAATTATCTAACGAATGTTATTGTATCCGATTTTTATTATATGATGAGACATAATTTTTTACAATTTTAAGAGTGGTTAATTATGTGTACAGTCAAATATTTGTCGCAAAAAAAAAAAGATAAAATAGATTTTCTCATTGCTGAGCACTATTGTGCCAATCCAAGTTTGTCTCCTTTCCTTAGAAGACAAGAAAAATATGATACTTTGACTAAAATTTTCAAATGTTCCTAATTTGGTTGCTCCAATCAGGCTGATAAATGAATCAGTGGCTTAGTGCATTTGAGATTGGCCCCAGAAAATTGTATGCTGTGAGGTCAGCTACCATAAATGCCAAAGAATTACTTGGCAAGACAATTTACATGAGTGCTGTATGTGTCCTGTTCACAATGAAGAAGATTAAAATCCTTATGGGACCATTTGGAGGGCTCTACCCACTACCCACTTTAGTCTAGGACAGGCTTTTCGGTTCACCTAAGGCTGCTGGAATGTAACATGTTTTTCCAGTTATTTCATCATTTTTATGCTTAACTTGTTGGGTAAGAAATTTATGTTTTCAATGATTTTTAGAGGCAGATTGATGTAAAAATGCTTAACAAAAGTTTCATATATCTTGTAGCAGCAGTAGCAGCTCCTTTATGATAATGGGCATGTAAGTTTTTGGGTGAACCTTGATCTGGACTTATTTTCCAGTTTTAATTACTTCTAAATCCAAAACCATGGTGAATCAATTTGCATAAAGACAATGAATGCTCATTTTAATTAATCTCAAAACATTTGGCAGCTCCAATAAATTAGATGGTCGAGGGATGCAGGTGGGACAGGAGTACATGCATATTCTAAAAATCTTGCAGAAAATGGTAGGCACCAATCTCACTAGCCTCATCGTAAGTCACAACCATCTACTAGCAATGGAACTCGTTTCAAAATTTCAATCACCAAATCTCATTCATTGCATCACAATCATCTATATATCACAACACACAACAATCTATTAGCTATGGAAGAAAACCATTTCCATCAGCAATCTTATTCATCCCCCCATCATCATCATCATCATTATCAATTTGCCAGATAAATTTAGAGTTATGATCATTGTGAAATGATTGTAACCTAGTGAATAGACATGGTGAGTGATCTTTTTACATTTCTCATACCTAGCTACTAGCAATCTCTTGAATCAAGTAAGTGTTTCTGCAGAGTGTTGTTGAGAAGGGAGGCATAGTCCATAAGTTGAGGGCTTAGTTGTGTCTAAAATTATTCTAATCTCCAATAGGAATCTTGCTGGTCAGGAGAACCTGTTGTTAGATTCACATATCCTAACATTCAATTAGAGGAGTCCTTTGGGAAGGAGAGGAATCTAAAATTTTTTTCCAGAAACTGCATGATCTGAAAACTAGAATTACTTGTCGACAATATTCTGTTGTCTTGATGAATATAAATAACACCGCAAGATGGTATGAGAATTAATTTTTATAACATTGATACTGGATGACATTGGAATCACTGTAGAGTTTGAATCAATAACAAGGCAAATCTGTTGCCAGTATAATCAATGTTTAGATGGATAATATACAAGGTTACAAGCTATGAACAAAGAGATCCAAAAGAATGGAGAAACCAACATGGGCTTCAAGGCACCATGTCACAAGCTGGAAATATGATCTCAACCTACATCTGTCCGTACAGTAGAACTCTCCAGATTGAATGCAAATGACTCTGACAGATCAACGGCATCTTGAACCCGAAGTCGGGTCCCCTGTTGCCTAACTACTGTGGCTGCAATCCTAGCTGCTAGTGTACCCATACCTTTCAAATCTGAGACACCTCGCAATATACCATACAAAATACCGGATGCATATGCATCACCAGCACCACATGTGTCCACAGGTACACATGGAGAAGGAGGAATATATACAGCTTCTCCTTTCACACCTATATAAGATCCTCTAGGTCCATCTGTAACTGAGACTAGAGGAACGAAGTGGCTAAGATACCTTGTTGCTGAAATAGGGCTTTCCTTTGAGGAAAAATGACATAGAGCTCTTGCTTCATCACTGTTTGCAAACACAATATCCGCATAATTCCCAACAATTTCCCTGAATAAGGGCAAAAAAAAAAATAAAATTGAGAACTTAATGGAACTTAATGGTACATGTACTGAGCTTAAGGTTATTATGAATGCATTCCACAACAGATATAGGGAGCCACCTTAGAATAGAATTCATAGAGATGCTTAGAAGTAAAATCATGATAATAGAATCAATCACGGCTGGAAATTGTTTTAAAACAGAAAACTCTATTAATCAGCCTGTAATATTGCCAATTTCCGCACTTATCAGTAAGTTTCTCCTCTAACAAGCAGCTTTCAAACTTTCCAGAAGTTACAACATTCCAAGCATCTGACCTCTCAAGAAAATTTCAACTTCCTCATTAAGCTTCAAGCCAGGTCCATCAGTTTTGTCAGATTCTCAACTTTTTCAAGAATGAACTTTTTCATCCAGACAGATATCTTTTCCAGTAAAGACAGGTTCCAAAAATATTAAACATCCTGAATTATACAGCTAAATTTTGATCATGTACACTACTGTCCAAACTCAGAGGGTAGATCCAAAGGTTTAGCTTCCAAAAAAAACCCGTCAAAAAACTAGAAAGCTCATCACCATGTGCCTAATTTCAACATTTAGGTAAATCTAGGTTTTTTGAAGTTGTAGAGTTCTATTCTCTCTTTAAAGGAAAATCAAACATAAATTCCAAAATCCTTACACCACTATCAAATTGTCTTCAATCAAACTATCTACAATTAAAATCAATCGCATTATTCTTTATTATAGAACATATAAATACCTTCTAGAAGACAAAATAAAAAGCCAACAAATTCTAATATGGTTGACTAAAATAGACAACAAACTTACCAGAAATCATCATAGTGTCTCTCAATGCAGGAGATATCTGATGCTGTGACTGCCACCAGGGCACCACTCCGGCGTGCTTCTTCACATGCCTTTATAATAGTTTTGATTGTATCAGGAAGTTCAAATAAATAGCCCTCTACAATAAATATGTTTGTTTTAGAAACAACGCCAGCCAAGCAAGAATCATAATTAATAGTTGATGATGTACCCTGAAATAACAGAAAGAAGTTATTAGGACTGCTTGCAATTCACCTCCCACACCATACACATGCTCTTAAAGAAAATTAGGACATTGGAGAGTTTCTGGTGCAATGTCATTTTGAAAGAACTTTTGCACAAGAAGGGATGCAAAGAATTTAGTATACAGTTGACAAAGTGTTGCAGCATAAAAAGGAGTTGCTTGAACATAAAATTTTATATTATAAGTTTATTATATTTTATGGGCTTCATTGAAATTTTTATATAGATATAGAAGTTTCAGATTATTTAGACACTTTTATGTTTATTGCTGTTTTCCTTATTTTCTAAGTACTAGGGCATTTGGGATGTATTTGGCATTTTGCATTTCTATTAGGATTTAGGGTTTAGTGATAAGTATCTATGTTATTTCAGTTTTAAGAGAGTTTTGATTGATGGATTATTGAGACTTAAAATTATTAAGTTTGAGGTTTTTCCCTCTGTTGATTCGCTCTGGCTTCCTCCCCCCAGTCTTCCATTACTCCCCCAATTTCCTCTGGTTCTCCCTAATTTCTTCAACCTATTTCTGATTTTCCCTCTGATTTATGTTATATATCTCTTTCCCTTCCCTGTTCCACATCACAAAGTCATGATAAGGTTGGTACATAAATTGCATGATTTATAGTGACTGAACTAGTCATTGCTACATGAGTTGTCCTAGAGATGATGGCAAAACAACAGCAAAAAATGATAGACTACAGTAAACCAATAGGGAAGCAAAAAGTTGATCTTGGATCCAGTTTTTGAGGCATCGTCCCCATAATTCAGGGGTAATTAAACGTAATTCAGTAAAATACAAGAAGAAAAATTACTCCCACAGACAACCAGCATGTGGAATGAAAAGCATCTGTGAACAAGAAGCACCATATTCTTTGACATTAGACATGAAGGGGGGAGCATGTAGAAGCATGCAGACCCCAAATGATGAGAAAAGTTCACAAAATGATTGCTTTTCCAATTTGATACTCAATGCTTATGTAAGTATGCATATGTGTGGATCTGCAATACAGATAATAAAATAACACCAATATATTTTCCCTCTAAGAATTCAACCCAATACCCAAAAAGGAAAGCTGCAACGCTCAAGTGTGTGAGTCAGAAACTTTAACAGTGACTACATTATATGAATCATAACTCAATTGAATCTCAATAGGAAACGAGACTATAAACTTCAAAATTTATGTGGCCTGCAAGGATTATGATAAGTTATTTGTGAAAGAAGTCTAACCTGATAAGCAAGCATTGTGCGCTGAGCATCTGGAGTTGTGAGAACTATCACTGTTCCTGTTGTCCCATCCTTGATAGGTTCAGAAAGAAAATTCACATCTGCCCGATGTAATTTTGCCCTAAATACATCAAGATATTGGATTTTTAATCAACAAGACCATTGCAAATTACAAATATCTAAATGAGTTAAACAGCCAAATTGTAATTGCCAATAATGACAATTTAAGAGTAATCTCAGATCTATGAGCAAATACCATAAGCCTCAGATTATTATATATTAGAAGAAGCTTACAATGTACAAAACAAGGAGAGACAAAATTTTTATCATCCTGGTAATACTGATAGTAAGGAGATCTCTAACATTATTGCTATTCTTCTCCTCGTTCCAATCCCTATATCAACCTTAAAACAGATAAAACTACATAGAGGGAGGACCCACAAGATGCAAGGGAGGAAACAACACTTTCTATATTAGGAGTGTAAAAAACCTCAAATCAAAAGTTTTGAACCCTATCATTACCACAATTTACATCCACTATGTTGAAAAGGACTCCAGAAACTTGCACAGATTCATGGCATAACAACAAATATTGGACAAGAAAAGAGTATTGAGGGAAAAGAAAAAGGTTGTGGGATGGAATTCCAATGGATAAAAGGGGAAAAGAATAGTAGAGTTTAGTACAAGTAAAGAAGTAAATATAAGCTTATCAAGGGAAGTCTCAATTATCAAAGGTTCCTCCACAAATATATGTGAGACTAGAATCAGCAAAATGTAGATTATCAGACAACAATTTAATTGTTCCAGTGGCAAAAATTATCGTAACACCAGACTTTAGCTATCAAGTTTGGATACCACAACAAAACGAAGCTCCCTAGGAACCACATATTTCTGTTTTTATTTTATTAAAGTGCATCAAAATGGTGGACCACTGAAGTTTATGGGAGTTATACAAGAGAAGCACCCCCAAAAAATACAAAACAAAAAAAGACAAGGAAAAGGGACACAAAAACTATAGCCCCAATTTTAAGCTTAAAAGAAACTCAACCAAAACACTGAATTAATAATTCCCTGCAGTTCTTTTCCACATGCCAACACCTCCATTATAGTTCTCGGCATGACTTAATGCACACGAAATAGGGAATAAAATGAAGCCCACAAACATCAGAAAAAATGTCAACTTATTATTGCTTAATCCCAGCAGCAGTCCAGATATCTATGGAAAAGTGTGCACACCCATGATAGCAGACCTCATAGAAAACAACTCTCAACAGCTAGCAGAAACAAATAATAAGACTTAATTTAGTATTATCTATTCTTAATGGAGCTCCAAAAGGCTTCACTAGTCCATGAATACCTAAAAAGTGCATACACCTAGACCAAGTCCAATCTTGCAAGATTCTGACAAAAATTTGGCATCCCATGCTAGTGCATGGTATCTACATTCATGTACCTAGAACATATAGCTTTTTCATCTTCTCAACCCTCT